AGGGTTGATGAAAAAAGTGAGTGAACTCAGCACTCTGTGCGATGTCAAAGCCTGTGCAATCATTTACAGCCCCTATGACTCAAAACTAGAGGTTTGGCCTTCCCCTCTCGGAGCCCAACACGTGCTTGCTGACTTTAAGAGGATGCCCGAGATGGACCAAAGCAAGAAGATGATGAATCAAGAGAGCATCTTACGCCAAAGGATCACCAAGGCAACCGATCAACTGAAGAAATAGTGCAAGGACAATCGAGATCTTGCGCATATCATGTTCCAAAATCTTATCGAGAAGCCCCTCCACCAACTCAACCTCATTGATCTCAACGCTCTGAGTTGGCTCATCGAACAAAACCTCAAAGAAATAAAATAGTGTATTGAAACACTTTGAAAGTTACCTCAGCCTCAAGAGGCGACAGTCGTAAGAGTGATGGAGGGTCATAGGGAGACATTCACTAAGATCAAGGAGGATCATCCTGTGGAGAAGTTGCAACAACTACAGACTTGGTTAGTTGATGGGATGAACCTGCAAGCACAACAGCAACCTAAGTGAGCATACGGGGAACATGTAGAGATGATGGTCCCATTCACAAATAAGAACGACCAAAATAATGGACTGATATGATCCAGTGTGTTTCACTGCCCTTAGGAATCGAGTATAAAGATATTTAATTTTAAATTTTTTGGATTGTTGTTGGAGATGTGCTTTAAATAACCAATTACATTCCACTATAAAGATATGTTATCAGTTTTTTAGTCGTTGTAGTCGTTGTCTCAATAGTTGTAGTCATAATAATAGTTGTAACTGTCATCATCATAGCCGTAGTCATCGAGTCGCATGCATAAATGTACTTGGATTTCTTTGTGTTATGATTTTCTTCAGATTAATCTTTTCTTTAATATTTTATATCTCTTGTACTAGTACAACTCTTCGTTCTTTAATTTCTCTCTTCCCCCTGCATGCTCAATGTAATTTTAAGCTATCATAATGCCCTTTTCTCTTCTTTTCTTTTCTATTTTTTTTACTTAATGGAGCGATGAAATAAGCATTGTTGATGTAGTATACGTAGAAATTCAGTCTAGATAGGAGGAAGATTAAGCTAGCTAGCTGCTCAAATTTATTTAGATTTCAAATAAGATTTTTGTATAGAATTTAATACATATGGATACGCTCTTCCAATCTTTAAATTAAAATTTAGGATAATGGCATTAAGGAATAATAATTTCCTCAAAGAAAACCTCTATCTAATTGAAATATCTCAAATAATTAATATATTTATTAATATGAATATTATGCGTGTGTTAGGAAAAATATGCTAAAATTATAAATATGTTGTTCAATTATTTTGTTTGATTTATTTCAGGTTATATTAACTTATAGATATATAGAATAATCTATCTTTGTTCCCTATATTTGAAAAGACAAAAAAATTATAGTCACATATATACTACCAATTTAGAGCATTGATGAGAAGTATATGTGTACACTTACAACTAGCTCTTTTAAACAGTTTGGACAATATCTTGTTTAATTTGCTAAATATGTCATATTATTGTGATGTAATAGCAATGTTGTCTAAATAGCAAAGAGAATAAATATTGCTTTATACATATACACACAGATATATAATCTTTAACTATTTTCCGTTATTTATATGTACACCAGCATGCAATCTATAGCATATTGTAATTATCTTAAAGGTTGGAAATCAGTAATGGATGATGGGATTGTTTCCTTCTAATTGTTTTTTGAACATGACTTGCCTTCTTCTTGTTTTCTCAATCTCTGTTGTAGTTGTTGGATGTATTGTTGATGGTACTTTTCGTTGTGTTTATAGTGGTTAATTACAATTGATAAATTTTATTTCAATTTTTTTTAAAAAAAAATCAATTATCTATAGGCAAATATGGATTATTGAGGTTCAGAAGGCATATATTTTAAAACCATACTAGTATCATTTTTTTTTTACTGAAGGGAGACAACATCTTTTATATTATTACTGCATAAAATTGGCAGAAAATATATCTTTAATTTCTTTAGGAGTTTATTGGCTATTACATAAGTCAATACAAAAGTAATCATATATATTACTTTAATTGTTATATTTTAAAATTAAATTACTCTAATCATTCCCTAACAGTATGTATAGTATTTTCTCTCTTTATAAAAAAATTTGGATTCAAATTGTACATTCTCATATATTATCTTTAGGAGATCGTGCTAACTAATTAATTAAATGTATGAATTGTCACTATAGAGATTTAAATCCTAAATTTTATTTTCATTTTTTAGAATTAATATTTTTTTTGAGAAGTAATATAACTCTTAACAATAACGCCCAGATTTACAAAACCAGCCATAAGTTATGCCTATATGCCAAAACCAACCACTAGCATCATCTAAAATACATGAGACCTTAGAGTATAAAACAAGAGCATCATATAAAAAGTGACATAAGCAACCATAAAATAGTCTACTCTACATCACACATCTAAAACAACTTATAGATTGTGAGAATTGGAGCAAGTGTTTTGTTTTGATCGGATGTCTATAAGCCCTAACATTTTCTACATTTGTTTTTAGCTATATGAGCACTAAAAAGAAAAAAAACAACTAAAAGTGAACATATTGTTGGGACTAAAACAAAGACTTTTATGGTTAAAATGCAAACTATCATAATTAGAGGACTATATTGGAAATTTACCAAAAGCAATATCAATTTTCTATATGAAAAAAATGGGATGCTTAGTACAAAGGATGGGTGACCTATTTATATGCAATTATTACTGCCTAGTTATAAGCAATATCAATCTTCCATTTCATTGCCATGGTTTACTACCTTAAGACAAGTAATTTCAAGTTTTTTTTCTCTCCCTCTCTCTTTATTTAACTAACCCCAAATATACAGAGAAAATTAATTAAATATTCTAGCAATCTTCTCGTTCATTTCATTTTTTTTACACACCTATACATATAATAGAGAGTAGATATATACATGCATTATAGTGCAGCATTAGCTTTTAATTAAAAAAGACGGTTGGGATTGAATGGTTTTATAAAAGTGCAACCATGCAACAATTCACTAAATAAATTTAGTAAATTACATTACCTTTAATCATAAGATCATTCCATATGTCCTATTAAAAACATAACATTTCTAGATACGATTTGGGCAATCCATTTGTAGTTTTAATCTAACCTTTCATGGTATATTCAATGTTCTACTTCACATCCATTATAAATAAATCTTCAACCCTTGTCTCATTCTATATATATACCATCTTGCTCTTTGGCCAGACACGACCAATACCATGACTATAAAGAAGGTTAAACTTGCCAATATCACTAACAACTCTGCTAGAAAAGCCACTTTCGAGAAAAAGAAGAGTTGATGAAGAAAGTGAATGAACATGTAAAACATATGTGCTAATTGAGAACAAAACACAAATATCCTTACTTGAGGTTTGCCATCTATACATGCTTTTTCAATATAAAACCATTATAGGCTCCCTCATCTTTTTTTTCGTTGAACATATACATGAAAAGGGCACTCACATACATAAACGTATAGAGAGAAATAGACATATGTGATCTCATGTCTTTATTTTATATAAAGTTTATGTTTTAAAAAAATGTGATGGGTAGGGTAGAATTATAATTAACAAATCAGCCGAAATATTTCAAAAAAGAAAGAAAGCAATCTTATCATTAGTGTAGTAGATTTATTAGTTGCACATATTTGATTGAAAGCAAAGATACATAATTTTCTTCTTCTTTTCCTTCTTTCGTAAGCTTTATTATGTATTATAAATATTTTTCAACATATATGATCTTCAAATGAATATTTTTTTCAAAATAATTACTGATTGTTTACTACAGCTTCATGAAAAAAATATCATTTTTGATATGCGTAAAGAATGAAAAACATGGAAGCCCGATTGCATATAGTAACTAATTGTCTACTAAATGTATATAATTGGTTGTAGAGACATATTTTGACTTTAATAATTGTAATTAAAATATTCTTCCATAAAGAAAAAATCAAATAAACATGCACTCTAATAATCATATTCTACATAATGCATACAAAATCAAATAATGTAGGAGAGAATAGATATACAGATTGACTATAGTGAAACATTAGCTCTTAATTAAATAGGACAGTCATGATTAAAGGAATTTTGTATAAGTGGAGCCCTGCAATAACTCACTAATTAAATTTTGTGAAACATTTCCTTAAATCAAAATATTTTTCCATATTCCATATTAAATACATAGCATTCTGGAGATGATTTCGACACTCCACTTCTAGTTTTAGAATGCAGTACATCTAACCTCACATGGTATATTCAATGTTTCACTCCCCATGCTTTACTAATATTCTTCAACCCTTGTTTCATTCTATATATACCCATTCCCTCTCTTAAGCCATATAAAACAACAGACCAAGAGTATAAAGAAAGTTAAGTTTGCCTATATCACCTAATGACCCCACAAGAAAAACCACATTTAAGAAAAGGAAGAAGGGGCAGATGAAGAAAGTGAGCGAACTCAGTAGTCTCTACGACGTTAAAGCCTATACATTCATTTACAGCCCCAATGACTCGCAACCAGAGGTTTGGCCTTCTCTTCTAGGTACCTAACGCGTGCTTGTTGACTTTGAAAGGATGCTCGAGATAGAGTAGAATAAGAAGATGATGAATCGAGATAGCTTTTTACACTAAAGGATCACCTAGACAACTGACTAATTGAACAACTAGTGCAAGGATGATTGCGAGAAGGAGATCACGTAGGTCATGCTCCAAAGTCTTATCGGGAATTCCCTCCACCAACTCAACCTCATTGATCTCAACGATTTGGGTTGGCTCATTGAACAACACCTTAAAGAAATCTAGAATAAGATAAAAACACTTAGCAAGTCACTTCAGCCTTAGCGGACCACCAGACGAAGGAGTCATAA